GCACAGGGAAGCCGCTTCCCTGCGAGGCTGCTGCGCGTACCTGGCGCGTAGCAATTGCGCCAGCGTCTCCAGCAGCCCGGACCGCGCTCCCCCCGCTGCCCCAGCAGCTCCCTGAGCTGCGTGGCACAGAGACCCCCCCAGAGATGGGGAAGGAGCGGGGAAGAGCGCACTGGGGGGGGGCCAGGGGCTGACACTCGGAACAAAGTATTTTCCAGGAGAGGAAGCCAGAGTTCAGCCAGACCCTGAAGAGCCTGGGAGAAGCCGGAGGCTGTGTCGGTGCCTCAGGCAGCGGTGCTGGAGATGGGGTCTGGGGCCCAAGTGACTTGTGGGCTCGTTCTTCACTGAGCATCTTTGAGGCACCGAGGCTTTGTGCTGATCGCAGGACCTGCTGCTAGCGGCCCGCTGGTAGCGCTCTTGGAAAGGTGGAAGCAGGCCTGTTGGTTGGAGCCACTGCCTCTTTAGGCTTTCCTCTGCCGCTGTGAAATGCCAGGCGCAGGCAGCAGGTTTATCTGTAGAGGAGGTGGTGCTGTCAAGTTTCTGCATCCTCCTGCCTGCTTGTGGCACCAGAGAGAGGGTTTCCTGCAGCTCAGCAGTTCCCCACTGCCACAGCGCAGGAGTTTCCTGCAGAAACAGATGGTGCCCAACAGTGGCTGGTAATAAGGATCCGGATCTGCTCTGCAGCCAGAGCAGCTCAGGGGCTCAGAGGAGTCACCCTCCCTGCTTGGAGATACTCTGAACGCAATGGAACAAGGTCCCAAGAAACCTGATCCAAACCGGATCTCCTCCAAGTGGGATTGCAGACATCAGATTGCCTCTCCCGACTGCAATTATTCTTTGATTCTGTGATTTCTTTTCTTCTTGTGTAACTGCAAACACTACTTTTGCAAAAGTGACCCAGAGTGAACATGCCGGGGAGCCCTGGCCGCATCCCTGCTCAGGCAGCGTGCGGTGTCCTGACAGCCAGGCAGCCCCTGCTGCCTTGAGGGCACCTGGGCAGTGACAGCCTGGTGTCACTTACCCCTTCTGGAACTTTGGAGCCTCCCAACAGGTCACTTCTGCCTCCTGTCACCAGTTGCAAAAGTGACCCAGAGTGAACATGCCGGGGAGCCCTGGCCACATCTTGCCTCCCTGGTCTGCTTGTAGCCTGCCATGAAGTAACACGTTTGTAGGGCTTCAGCTTGACTGTATTAAGTGTGCAGAGACTAATTTAGACGGTAACACGGTAATGAGGGAGTGAGATCCTGGTCAGAGTGGGGGAGAGGAAAACAAGCCCTCTGCCTGGCCCCCTGGGGGAAGTCCATGCAGGTCGCAAGTCAAAAGCTAACAGCGTTGTATCGTCACTCACCTCAACACCACCTGCTACTCAAGTTAACTTGAGATGAAGCTTTCTTGGCAAGATCCAGGGCCCATAAAACGCTGTTGAGTGGCACACCCCTATGCTGCCACCCCCAGCCCGTGGGCTGTGGCTGCTGCCGGGCAGCGCTGTGTGAGCTGGGCAAGTTGTCCAGGGCTGGTTGCTGGTGTGGGGCTCCTCTTTGTTACAGCCCTCCGGAGCTTCTCAAGAAAGAAAGAAAAACCTACCAACCCACAGGGGTCTTTAGACAATTCTTACCATTCTTGGGTGGGAGCTGTCTGGTGTCAAAAATTCTGTATTTTAGCATTTCCTCCTGGATTGTTCATGGAGCAGAGCTTCACTGTTACTGGGCTGTGAGAATCAATACCGGCTTCTTTCCAAGCAGAACGTTTTGACCCTTTGTTTCACCTTCAACAGTAGCCTGTGAGGTTTCTCAGCTCCAGCTATGCGCAGATGCAGACTGTTTTGAAGGTCGATATTGTTCATTATCCAGCTGGGAATGCCAGTTCCTCTTCAAACCCTTCAGCACATCTTGTCCCAGAAGGGCAGCGATGGGTCTGCTGGCCACTGTCATGGGGCAATGAACTGCTGTGACCCTGTGCCAATGCTGGCGCTTCAGTCTGCTGAGCTTCAGCGGAACCACACACCGGACACCTTTTTTTTTAGCAGCAGTCACTTCTGGAGCTGAATCCCCCCAGAGGCCTTTGCAGGAGAGCAGGGCTGGTTTGCAAAGGGGAAGAGGAGCTGCTGACAGCTCCAGGTTGGGTGCCAGAGCCCGGGCCCCCTCCACGTGCCCATCTCCCTGCAGGTGTCAGGGGTGCACAGGGTAAGGCAGATCCAGGTATGAAATTAAGAAGTGCTTCCTCACGAATACTGCACTCTCCCAAATGGGTCCTTTTACCTTTTTGGTTCCCCACAAACTTCTTGCTGGCTACAGACTGGCTGAGAAGTTCATCCCAAGGGAGATGTGTCAGGAGGGGCTAATTAAAATCTAGAATTACGGGTGAGGTGTTTACTAGGGAACCAGGCAGTGGGGAGAGCATTCAGCGTCATCGGAGGCTGCTGGGGCAGGATGCTGCAATTTGCCTTGAAAGCAACAGAAGGTTTTGGAGAGGTGTTTTGTAGCTACACCATCGACAGACGAATTAATACTGGGCTCCATTCATCCCACACTCCCATGGTGGACAAAGAAGCCGTTATTTTTTGCAGCCCCGGGCTCTATTATAACAGTATTATCACAGTCTTTTCCTCCTCTCTGCTGCCATGCTCTTCTCAAGCAGATCTTGCGACAAATTCACCCCCAGTTAGCAAGTCCTCCAGGCCTGATAGGTTTTTGTGCTGTGGAGCTCAACAGACAGAGCAGTTGGGTTTTTATTACCACACTGAAGCTGCAGGGCAGGGGCACAGCTGAAGGCGGCTGCCTGGTCTAACACGGGGTTCGTACGTACCCTCCACAGAGTCAGACAAATCCCGAAGGTAGAGAACAGAAGCTAAATTCCCACCGGCTCAGGAAATATTTTATTCTTTATATTTTCATTAAAAAATAAACATAGGAAACAAAACCACAGAACACTTGTGTGATAGAAACAAACGCAGAAGGTCAGAGCGTTGGCTGAAAGTGCATAATTAAGTCATGCTACCACGTCCCTGATCCCACCCTGTCCCCCAAGCAAGGAGTCAGCAGTAAGCTCAACGAGCAGCACTACACGGGGCCCAGGCACTGCGGGGGCCAAGCTGACGGCAGAGGAGAGCCCGCGCTCCCAGAAACGCAGCGAGGCAGGAGACATGCTGAGGAGAGGGCTCCAGCGAGCCAGTGATGAAGCTCTCACTTGGGGTTTTGTGGGGCAGGCGAAGGACAGCTCATGTAAGAGGATGTGGAGTTACGAGGCAGGGGAACAAACAGCTGAGAACAAAGGGCAAAACAGAATCCTGGATGTCACTCCAAAACAGCCCCGGAAGCAGAAAAATCTTAGATAAAAGGAAAATCAACACAATGAACTTGACTGAAAGGCTGACGTCGGTGCGCTGGACAGAGGTCTGTCCAGGGACGAACGCCAGTCACTCACCAGCAAGGTCTACTGGGATAGTAGCGATTCTTTCCCT